TTTTTTTTTTTTTTTCGTTCTTAAAGAAAAAAACATTTATGCTACTCTGAAAGTCTCTAAATATTAATTTTACAAATTTACTATCTATTTTGTAATTTGAGTTTTTTGAGCAATTATGAATATCGATTATAAAATGAATACATAATACAAATAATGAAACAGTAGACAATTATACGGGAAATGCTACGGTCACGTTACGGAACCATTCCATCGAATTTGTAACCGTTAAATCATCATGTAACTAGAGCATCTCCAATGTGACTTTTGACAATATAAAAATTCATCCATATCATCAACTTTTGAAAGTGTGTTATTAATTTGTCATATTGTCATGAGCTCTTTCATGATGAAGTGGATAACATTTAATGTTGACAATGTTGAGTACAGTTTCTAATATCTAACACCATGTTAAATATGATGTCTAATTAATTCACTTTATATTTGATTTAATTTTTTTATTGTTCTTGTATTAATGATTATTTTTATTGGTCCACATATGCAAATAACTTCTTATGAAATTGATGCATTGGAGATAAAAGTTTGATTCAAATTTATACTCTTTTAACATTATAACTACAAGGATTCACATTACAATCATTGATTGACATGTGTTCCAAATCATTGACTTTCAAAGCCATAGCATTGGAGATGCTCAAAGATAATTGATTTAACTGTGGTAAACACCACGATGGTTAAGATCTCCCTAAGGCTATGTTTTGTAAACCAAATAAGCTAGCTTATAGCTTATTTGGTCTTCCTGTATTCAAATAAGCCCCGTTTGGTAGGATGAGCTTATTTAAAAAGCTCGAGCTTATTTGATAAGCTTGTTTAGGTAGCTTTTCAAATAAGTTAGTTGAATTTTTTTATTCCAGCTAGCTTATCAACTAATTTTACCAAACACTTTTATCATATCTAGCTTTTCAGCTATAAATCATAAGCTATAAATTATAAGCTCGAAAATCACATATAGCTATAAACTACATTATCAGCTATCAGCTAGCTTATCCGCTAGTTTTACTAAACATAGCTAATTATACATGTATATTCATTGAAACACGTCATTTGGATATATACATGGTAACATGTCTCTTCTTCTTCTTCTTCTTCTTCTTCTTCTTCACTTTAGCTGGCGAGGGTTTGGACTCTGGAGTAGTCATCTCGCGCTAACAACCGAATGCACCACCTATAACCTCTGCGGCTGCTGCTGCTGAAACTTGGTCTTGGCCCACCAATTTTCGATGGTCTCAACGAGAGAGAGCCGCGGCAAGAAAAGGGCTCAGACCCAAAATCCAAATGGAGGATTTTTTCCCCACGATTTACGCAATCTCCAGATTCTTTTCCCTTTAATTGAATCGCCGGAGGTCTTGATCTTCCACATTAGTTGCATTTGTATTTGAACCATTTCTGTTAGTATTTTTTTTTTTTTTTTTTTTTTTTTTTTTTTTTTTTCTCAATCCGTGTTGTGCCTCAGTTTCCCGGTGAACCCAAATGATTTGGTACATTACTCTTTGTCTAGGTTTTTTACTTGCCTTATTTGTGTTTCCAAGTTGATTAGGGTTAGCAATTTGGAATCTAGTTTTCTGTACTGACTTCGTGTATCAATATTTTCAGGGAATGAGACCACCATTCTTGAAAGATTTGTACCGAATTTTCGCAAAGTTTTCGTCTAATGCACAATGGGCAGTTAAGTCTTCAGCAGGTTCGCTTGATTTTGACTTAGAATTTCGTCACGATGGGATCACGGTGACTTTTGGTGATATCTCTGAGATATCTAACATACTCTTTAAACAACTTGAAGAAAGATTTGAACGATTATTTTCAGATTTGAGTGTCAGTTATGCTGACGAGGATTGCGGTCCGTATAGCTTGAATTCAAGTTTATTTGAAGCTGTGGAAGTAGTGAGTTTGCTATTCAGATGCTGTTTGATGCTCTTGACTCTGTTGGCAGCCAAACAAAATCTTGTCTTGGATAAAGGGCTTGTTCTTTTAAAGATAGTTAGACAATTGAGTTTGCTCGATTTAGCAGGGAAGACGGTTGGAAGTCCTTTTGTGTTTGAGAAGTCGTTTTTTCGTAAATGTGAACCTGGTGAAAATGGTTTCTCTACAGCCTCAGTTGAGGGATTCACAGCTTCGTTACAACTTTTGGGGCCTACTAATCCTCTCCTCTATTTTATATCTCTAATGCTTGAGGTGATTTTACTAACTTTGAAGTGCATATGCTTGATATGTTTACCATTGACATAGTGTAGAATTCCATATTCCTGATACGTTGTAAGAAATTTTACGAAGTTAATCTTAGCTTCATTCCATCAATTGAAAATAGTTAGCTTTTTGTGTCAAAGTAAATCTTATCTTCATTCCTTCTCTAGTGAAAATATTAACTTGGTGTCATTATTGGGTTCCAGGCCAACTTATAGATTTATCGTTCAATTTTCTCAAACAGAAAGTAATAGGGCAACTGGATAATGGGCTTCTTGATCAATTTTTATGTGTTCATGAATAAGAATGCTTCCTTATAGTTTACACATGTATGATATTTCTTTCTTCTTATTCGTGTTGTTCATTATTAATCGAACTGCTTCAGTAATTGACAAGTAAATGAAACGTTTTCATCCGCAGGTGTTTGTAGATGAGCTATTGACGCATAAGCAATTAAGAGGGCACTTTCAAATTATTAATTTTTTTGCTTCTACCAATGAAACACTATTCAGTCGCCACTCGGGCCAAGATGATATAGGGATTGTGATTGCAGTGCTATGCAATCATTTTATCCTCTCATTTTCCGATAAGCAGGCTTTTCAAGATTGTCTCATTCGATTGTTCTCTACACATTCAACGGAACTTAAACATCCTTTTCAGAATCCAGCATTAAGCCTTACTGCATCTTCATTGTTAATTCTCAGTCCTGTTATGCTCTCTATGCCAAAATATATGCAGGCTCATTTGATATCACTGGTTTCCAATGCTATATATACAAAGAGTTCGAGACCAGATCGTATTGTCAGAAACTGTTTCCTCTCGATCCTTGAAAAATCGATCGATCTGTACCTGGCACACATATCTTGTTTGGAAAAAGATGGCTACCCTAGTTTTCCAAGGGGCTTCAAACCCAGTTTTTCGTATGGCGTTGTCTATCGACCGTTTGAATTTTACATATTGCCAGAGACGAAAAAAAAGATTGATGCTCTGATCACAAAGCTAGACAATTCAATAAACGCGAACTCGGACGATCTTTCTTTTGGAATGAAATCTGACCTGGTGAGTTCCTCCCTGAAATTCGTGAAGGAGTGTCTGAATGTATACGCCATACCGTCCCAGGATGAGATTTTATCCATTTTAACCTGTTTGGTTCTTAAAGCTTCTGAGAGCTGTGATTATAGAAAAGTACAACCAATTGAGGGCACAACAATGCAGCATTTGTATCTGATTGCTTCTATATTGAAATTAATGGGGATATCTTTGTTACAAGCTATTTCGTGTCTTCGGCATAACAGCAATAATTCATGTGGGCCGAGAACTTTGAGAGATTTTGCTTCATGCAAAGAGTATGATTTTATTTTGGACACCATTGCCTGTTTTGGTGATTTAAACATGAATTCACCGATGCAGCAAGATTTAATGGATATGATGGCAGGTCAATCTACGAGACATTTGCAGTCAAAAATGATGTTTTTGCATTTTGTGGGGTTGATGTCTTTAAGCTTTGTACAAGGGTTGGATTGCTGGGTGAAGGCATGTTTGTTGGTAATTCTTGCACTGTTGAATTTGTTTGCGTTCGAAGAGGGTGACTTAGATGAATTTCAATCAATAATTGATTCCAACGCGAAACGTTTTTCTTCCGAACTCTCATTTCTCCGATTGCAGGAGGTATCTGTAACAGTATTTTTTTTTTCCTTTTTTTTTTTGTAGCCATTGTTATATTTCAAGTGTTCAAGTATTTTTTACTGATAATGCAGGCTGTGGCTGGCCAAAGCTCGAGCCTTGTGGTTGCATCAAAGTTTCAAAAAATCCGTTCTCTTTTTTCAAGGTAACTGACATTAACATAGGTATGAGGGGTAACTACAAAAATAGCATGGAGATTTCGACCCAATTAACAGAAAAAAAAAATGAAAAATGGAAATCACTAAATCAGCCTCTTAAGTTAATGTGGGCTATGCGGCATTAAAATAAGGTGCTGTACTATTTTTATATGTGTGTCATATATAATTTTTAGTGTCTGCCACAGGTTATGGCATTTTATCCATATGCATATGCATATTGTGTTCTGCTGCTTTTGGTATGTACTCTGTTTTATTGTACAGATTCTTCTGCAGAGTGATCCAAAACAAAGTTAGCGAAACTGAAGCCCAAAGTTTACGGACACTAGCAAGTGCAGAATCAGACATGGAAGCTGATGCAGGCTTAGAAGAAGAAGAAACAGAGGAGACGAGCAATGGGGAGATTTTCTTGGAGTGCATGTTGAAGATGGGTAATGATATCTCAGATATCGATGATTTGGTTGGCTTTGTTGAGTGTAAACAAGGAAAAGATTACCCATCTTGGTTAAAGAATCGGCAAAAATATCGCAAGTGGAGATCAGAGAAAATAGCCATTTTGAAGTGGAAAAGAAAGAAAAACACTTGGAGAACTCTTAAAGGGAAAAGAAAATGAAGATGAGAGGAAATAGCCACATTTTGAAGTGGAAAAGAAAGAAAAACACTTGGAGAAGTCCTAGGAGATAGCTACGTGAACACAAATAGAAATTTAGCAGAAGTAGGTTGTACGTGGAATGTGGGGAAAAAATGGAAGGTTGTACGTGCAATGTAGGGAAAACTCGGTTGTAAACTTCAGCTATTGGCTTGTAATGTGTGTTTAGTCTGATGGCGATAAGCGTCAAAAGCATACAACTGAAATCAGAACGCCATCCATCTCCGTATGTAGGTGTATTTGTCTCATCAAGTGAAGTGTACTAATACTGTCATATATGCTTCAAGTCTTAAGTGCTCTTAACTTACATAATATTATGAGATCACTCTAACATTTGTTATTGTTTTGTAATATATCAAACACATCGTCTGTTGATACTCTGGAAATCAGGCTTCTTAGCATAGCCACGACCTCTGCATCATCCAAACGCAACCCTGTTTGAAAAATGTAATGTTGAATCCAAAGCCGAAAGTAATTTTCCAACAAGCAAAGTGAATGTTCGGTGTTTCAATTTGATTGGATCTTTTTTTACTTATAAAGATAATTTTTGGAAATTATTTGAGGCAATGTTTTATCTTGTATCTTTGCACATATCATAAATTCTTTAGATCATTTTTAGCTATGAGGTGGCTGCTCATTTGACGGGAATCATGGAACATGTCTTTACAACTATGAACTTAAATAAATTTCAGGTCGATCGGTGTTTTAAGATATGACATCGAATGACCTGTTTAGACTTGTGCATATAATGCATTCTCGTTGGACGAGGATGTTGGATTTCATCAACATTAGCATGTGGACGGAAATGCATATATGCAGGTGCTTGTTGGGAGCCACTGAATATGGTCCGATGAAAATTCATAACGGGAAGTTTCTTTAAATGTAAAAAAAAAATTATGTTGCAATAGTACATGACTGATCCTCGAACTTGAGGCACGATAATAATTTTGTACATGTTGTGATTTAGTTTGATTTATCATTTGATTGTTGGACTATCATAAAAAGATATTTTGTGTATTGTATCGATTGACGAGCAGTCATCAACGACTCTTGAATTCGAGATTTAGAGGGTTGGAAATTTGATTTAATGGAGGACCAATGCGATTTACGTTATTTTTATGGTGAAAGAACAACAAAAATACAAAACATGCACGATTTTGTCGATATGTTGGGAGATCGACGAGGATAATGATTTCTTCAAAAGTATCACTAGCAGAGAGTATTGTGTTACAGTAACTCTTGTTTGAGCTTTTGTATGTTCTTGTATTGTTGTACTGCTATTTGGCTAGTGTTTTCATTGAGTCAGGGCTCTTTGACCTCGAATTCTCCGAGGATGTGATTGATGATCAAGAGGAAATCGCTAAATATTTCTAGTTGTCGATTACAGATTTGATATCTATATTATATAAATAAATTACATATTTTGAAGGAGCAGTTCAAACAAAGCTTGTTTTGAGGAGCGGTGGACATATTAACATGCCACATAACCTCATGTTTAGAGCATCTCCAATGGTTGAACATTTATTTTGAGATTAATGATGTGGAGAAAGGGAATAAAAATAATTTGTCTCCAATGGTTAACGTCAATTGTGGAATAATTTGACACGTGTAAAATAATAAGTGGTTGATGGAGAGAGAAATATAAAATAATTAGTATAATATAGGGTAGAAGATGTCTAGAAGTCTTTCTGAATCTAGAAAGACTTCTACAATTCTGAAACGCTGCATTGGATTTTTTAAGGTTATGTGGCACTGAATTAGAGCATTCAATGTACCATTGGAGATGCTCTTAATCCTCCATGTTGTCTGCTTATGTGCATGCACATAAGTGACGGGCATATTAACATATGTCCGTAAGCAGGAGAGTATTACCGAAAAACTATATGGGGAATTCATTAGATAATCTCATCTACAAAGTGAATCAGGCCCAAATCGGGCTCTTTGGAATGAAATCACACCTTTTGTGGGCTTGGACAAGACGCTTCAAAAACTGGGCCAACCCATTTTTTACATCGCTTAAACCCTTTCCATCTGCATTTTCAGCTGCAACATCTAATCTAATTGGGGGGCGAGAGGTTTTAGAGCTCTTCTCATCTGACCTCCGCCGGCGACAACCATCTTTGCCGGCGACTTTTGCTTAACTCGGAGACGAAGATGGCGGCGAAGGCAGTAAACGTTGGGCAAATAAATCCTGTAGAAGCTTTTGAAAAGGTGAGAATAAAGCTTGCAATTGGTAATTTTGTTCGAATTTGGCTTTAATTTTAATGGATTCCCTTCGCAGGTAGCTTCTGAAGAAGATAAGATGAAAGTGAAGAAATATCTTAGAGGCAAAGCTACAGATTTAGGGGTAATGATTTTGATTTTCTTTTGTTGGGTGCTAATTTTTTCACATTCTGTCTTTTTTCTTTGTTCTTTGGATTTGCGGCTGAGGGTCTGTTTTTTGATTTATTTATTTATTATTTTGGATGCAGAGGTTGCAAGATAAGAAATTGAGAGGTCAGCTAGCGGTGAAGGAAGCATTATATGGAAAATCTGCACTGACTGCTGCTAAGGCTGAGAAAGTATTCCCATTTTATGTTGGGCTTGCCATATTTTTTAGCATCATCTATAGTATCCGATCATTTGTACCGCTACATCATTGAATTTTTAGTTGTATATTCCCGGGTTTCTTTTTGCACCGAACGTTGTTTATATTTCGGTTTGTTTTTGTAGTGGCTTATGCCAAGTGAAGGAGGCTATTTGGAACCTGAGGGTATAGAGAAAACATGGAGGATTAAACAGGAGGCTATTGGTTCTGAAGTGGATATTTTGAGTAGGAGAAAACAGTTTGATATTGTCTTGCCAGGTTCGGATCTGATTCTCAGTTGCTTGGTGAATTCTGCTAATGACATAATATCACCATTGTAGTTCATACGTGTCCTAATAATTTACCAATTCATTGTCTTGGCTTACTGTCTTATGAAAACTTTAGAGTGAGATACTACATAGCTCATTCAAACATGCTTGATGATGGGTTTGCCGTTTGTATTTGATAACGCCACAGAATTTTGGTGTATTAGCTCAAAACACACTGCTCTCGTGCGCTAGAAGCAGTGCAAACAAACTTTGTGTGAACTGCTCCTCCAAAACATCAACGGTTACTGTATGGATCTTTTGATGTATATTGGTCATAGATATTTTTCTTTATGTTTGGTGGCTTGTATTCATCACCTATTGCAATAGTTAAGACCATGAATTAATTTTAATTTGATGTTGAATGTTATGGTTATATATCTTCAACTTATGGAACTTAACATTGAAAGTACCTCTGTTTTCAGATCTCGGTCCTTACACTCTGGATTTCTCCTTGAGCGGACGATATATGGTAGCAGGTGGAAGAAAAGGTCATTTGGCTCTTCTAGACATGAAAAATATGGACCTCATTAAAGAGTTTCAGGTGTTTTTTAACTTTTTAATTATGTGCAAATATTTTCCTTTGGATTGTGATAAGAGGCTTTAACCCTAGCCAAGTCAGTCTTCTCCTTACAATGAATAAAGACTCGTGAGAATTGTGGCCTTCAGTTTTGGGTGTTAATAGTGAATTTCTGGAAAAATGTGCATTAAATATTAGTGTTATTTTAAAATGTTAATGATTCCTACAAATGGATTGAACTTATTGGCGAGGGTCAAAAGTTTAAGAGAATAGTGTATTTCAAGAATACATTGACTAAAGTTTCACTATCTTCTGCTAGAGAAAAAATTCTAAAACCGGAAGGATATCCAAACGCACCCGTAGTCTTGGACTTTTCACTGTCTGGGTGATATCTATTTGAGTTTTGGTCCATCAAACATATATGGCATATGTTGTTAATAGTATTTGTAAATAATGCAGGTTAGAGAAGATCTTTTCTTTTGACCGCATGTTTGTGATTTTCTGAGAAGCTGCATTAGGTTCCGTAGAATAAGTATTCAACTTGTCTAACTTTTTTTGCAGGTTAGGGAAACAGTTCGTGATGTGGTGTTTTTGCATGACCAGAAGCTTTTCGCCGCTGCTCAAAAGAAGTATTATTCTCTCCTCATTTGTTACAACTTACAACATCATATTTTGGGCCATTTGTATTGATATTTGGTAATTCGTTTCGTTTTCACGGCATAAGTTTTTACGAAAGCTCTGTTCTTGTTGCTAATTATTATTGATGGAATATGTACAAATGGAAAAAAGTTATCCTGCGGGCCTCCAATCTCAAAATTTGGGATCACTGTGAGAATATTCATGTTATCTATATACAAGTAGCTCTAGTTGAATGGTCGCGTGATGTTCTCCATGCTTGAAGGCTCATAATATTCAGATTCCCAGTCCTATTCAGCTAGCTCTTGTAAACATGCTTACACTATTACTCCATATCACAATAATATCAAAAGCTAATTGAACTGCAGTCTGCAGATCTGTTTCATTTATTACATGAAATCATACATGTTATCCATCGGAAGTCGCAACTCTTGAAAATATATGGTAAAGTTTAAAGCCAAATTTTCTTAACTGTGTATTTAATTGTGACAGGTATGTGTATATGTATAACGAGAGTGGCGTTGAGATGCACTGCATGAAGGTTAGTATTAAACCCCTTGCTTGAACTTTCTTATATCCTAATGTGTGATCATTTTTGGTAATTTCACGTCCAGATTTTGAATGAATTCAGTTTTTGGACATTTAAAACCATTGTCTTCAAAAACAAAATAAAAAAAAAAGAAGTCTCAATTGCACTTGGAGCTCTACTTCATAACTAGTATTCGACCATGTGCATTTGCACAGATGTAAATAAAGTATTGTGAAGTATTGTGAGTTACTTGTATGCATATAATGCATATAATGATTAATTATTTTTCTTTCACTTTTTTGCATGCCAACATTTACAAATAAAGAAGTTGGAATATTTACTTTTTTTTTTTAAAATTGCGTTTATCTGATTGGATATAATGTATATTTTGGTACGTCTTTTTTTTGAATTATTTATCATTTATTTAGGAATTTCAAATACGTTTTTATTTTTTTTAAAAAAAAAAAATAATTTAAATTAACATCTAATCACATTGTACGATCAACACATTATATGGTCACTAATAAAAAGTTTAAAATGATTTTTTGCATTTTTGAAGTGATTAGTATTGATTATTTAATAATTAAATAAAAGATTAAATACATAAAAAAGTAAAGATTTTTGGAGGGAAAAATATTCAATTGCCACATAGGTAAAATTAATTAGGTTTTATTAAATGCTATTGGCTAGTAATTATATAGATATAGATTATATCAGCAAATATCTAACGAGCCATTAAAATTTTCTTCCCTTAACCCGATAAAAAAAATAAAATAATAAATAAATAAATAAATAGACCTTAACCCATTCTCTTGTCTGCAGGAACACGGCCCCGCATTACACCTCCAGTTTCTCCACAAGCACTTCCTCCTGACCTCCATAAACAAGTTCGGCCACCTCCATTTTCAGGACATTACGACCGGCCAAATGGTCGGTAACTTCAAAACTGGCCTGGGCCGCCCGGGCGCCATGCGGGCCAACCCATTCAACAACGTGACCTCTGTGGCCCACTCTGGCGGCACAGTCACCATGTGGAAGCCCACGAGCGCTGCCCCTCTCATCAAGATGCTCTGCCATCCGGGCCCAATCACAGCCCTCGCTTTCCACCCGAGCGGCCACCTCATGGCGACGGCTGGCATGGACCGCAAGATAAAGCTTTGGGACCTCCGAAAATACGAGACCCTCCAAACGGTCCGTGGCCACGCGACCTCCTTGGACTTCAGCCAGAAGGGCCTGCTGGCCTCATCCACTGGATCCTTCGTCCAGATACTCGGCAATTTCTCGGGCGGGCCCCACGAGTACACACGCTACATGAGCCACTCGATGGCGAAAGGTTACCAAATCGGGAAAGTATCTTTCAGGCCGTACGAGGATGTGTTAGCGATCGGGCACTCGATGGGTTGGTCCTCGATATTAGTGCCCGGGTCGGGCGAGCCCAATTTCGATACATGGGTCGCGAACCCGTTCGAGACTCGAAAGCAGAGGAGGGAGAAGGAGGTTCGAGCCCTGCTCGACAAGCTGCCGCCAGAGACAATCATGCTTGACCCGTCAAGAATCGGGTTGGTGAGAGAGAGGATGAGAGAGAAAGTGAGCAGAGAGGAGAGAGAGGCGGAGAGGGAAGCAGCCGTGGAGGAAGCCAAGAGGGTTCGTATCAAGAAAAAGACGAAAGGGAGGAGCAAGCCAAGCAAAGTGGCTAAGAAGAAGAAGGAAGCCGTGGTCAAGGCCAAGAAGGGTTTCGTGGAGACACAGGGTAAGGATGAGGTGTCTAAGGAGAAGAAGAGGAAGAGAGATGATAACGAGCACGGAGAAAATCAATCGCTGCCTAAGTCCTTACAGCGTTTTGCTAAGAAGGTACCATCGGTTTAATTGTGCTCAAGACTGCAATTTCTTTCCTTTTTTTTTCTATTTCTTCCTTTTTGTTTTACTTGAAGAATGTAGTTCGGTAATTTACATAGTGGAATTGATTTTGATCTGGACGTCAGAAAAAGGGCTATATAAGATTATTGCAACTTAGGCGATGTATCTTTACTTGGTGTTTAATTTTAGATTGTGTAGAGGACACACTGCCTTGTCTGAATAGAGTGATGAGATCTACAGAGAATGTTCGGTTCAATACAGCAATGTTCTTTCGGAATGGTGATTTGTGGCTGCTGTAGGAATTAATTATATATATGAATGTGTCTTACTAGTTTTTACAGTTCTATATTCTTTTGCGTATGTGTATTTGTGTAGAACGATTTGTGCAACGGCCATTAATGGTTAGACGATCATACTTTATCGACAAACGTGTATAATTACAAATTGAAATCTCAAGTATGATGACATTTGGAAAGGTAAGTATGCATTACGGATTGACACGTTTAACGGTTAGACTATCTCATACAAGAATTTGTGTTTTTCAAATCACCTTTTGTACTTTTTGTTGCAGTTGAAGCCTGGTAATTGCGAGAGGATATCTGAATATTTCAAAAATAAATATGTCCCGTTGATTAGATTGAGAGGATATCTGAAATTTTTAATTCGATGACTACACCGACTTTGCTTGAGGTGTTTTTTTTTTTGGTACTCATTTGTAACTTCTTTTTAAAATAAAATATCAAGTAAATGTTTTAGCATATAAATTGTATAAACATATGTGACACCAATTTAGGACATTAAGTCGGTATTCCTTAAAAATAGAGATATTAACTGTATTTCTTTAACATTACCCTACAATAAAAAAAAAAAATAGATATTTTGAGAAGAAATTTGTAGAGAACTCTAAATAAATTCATATCTAATCTTTAGATCAAATATATCATTCTATTTGTCTATAAATAAATTTTGTTTCTATTCTCAGTTTATGTAAATCTTAACCTTGTAATAAAATTGATTAGATTTATAATAAAATTTATCAAATTTACAATAAAATTAATTTTAGTATAGAAATTAATAAAAAGTAAATTTATAAAAAAATTAAAAAATGAATATATATTTATATTAAATTGGTTGAAAAACCAGGCAACATCAGGTTGTTCAGGTAGTAGTTCCAGAAATTGAACCAAATTGGTTCAGTGGTGCATACAGTCGGAGTGTTATATTTTTATCAATTTTATTTTTTAATGGAAGTATGATATGTATGTTTTTTTAATAATATTTTACACATTTACGTAAAAAAAAAAATCAATTTTTCCGAGTAGTCTTTTATTTTTTATAAGGAAAATTACATCAAATTAAACACTTAATTTTAACATGTTATGTTAAAATATATTATGTTAGGATCAT